TTTCACTTGTTCTGTTGCAAATTTCATTAGCAACAGATGTACATTTTAGCAGTTATATGTTAATCATTTGTATGTAATTCCATTTCCAATTTAGTATTACAAACTTCAAAACTAAATTCTTTTGTCTTCAGTTAAATCTTTCTAATGATTTTAAATTAAAAAAAATTGGCAACTATGTCCCTCTGACATCAATTTTCTTGATTTTATTTTTATTCCCTTAACAAAATTCTAGTGTTTCACAATAAGTTAGACATTTGTATTTGCCTATTATTTCTTGCTTATAAAATGCTTCTTGTGTGAAAGGAATTGTATCTGTTCCATAAAACTTTACATATCAATGCATTGAATCTGGAAGTTTCCTAAGATACCTTTGAATTTGTTTTCAAATTAAACCATAGTTGTTTCTAACGTAACACAAGGATTATCTCCATTGTCTTAGTCTTCCACATAGGAAAGCATCCATTGAAAAAAAATTAATGCACCTGGCTAGAGTTTTGTCACATTCTATCCTTGTTGTTGGTAACATGGGAAGACATAAGTTAACATAGACACTTGATTAACAATGGAACAAAATGACTTTATTAAATAGCTAAAAAAATAGGCTTTAAAAGAGATTTACCTATTTCTGGAAATTGTCTGGAAATTATTCCTCAACTGTTCTCCGATTTCTCTGATAGGAAGGGTATTCTAAGGCACCTGTCCTTCCCAATACCTTGTTCACTTATTTTCCCTCTTGTGGGATATATTATAATATTGCCATCTTTTGATTGATACATCACAAGCTCATGATTGTTTTATCAGTTATGACTCTTAACACAGATATTTTCTTTCTATGTCATATGTTTTCATGGCATGATAGCATTTATTTATAATGTTTATAATGCTTGCCTTATATATTTGATTCTCCATTATGCCTCAGAACAATTAATACTTTAAAAAGTTGCAACAATAATTCTAACACATAAAATATAAGTTATATGCAGAAGAAGAGGGCATTTAATAAAGAGAAAATATTTTTAATATGAAAACACCCTTAACGAGACATTCTTTGAGATAAATAATATAAATCTGCTCTGTCCACTTTATTTGTTATTGATGAGCAATCACTTAACTTGTCTAGTTTGCCTGAAATTTCAGGCAATCTGGACAAGTTTAGAAAAATTCAACAAGCTGATTAGGTTTTGCAACTAGAAATGTTTGAGTAAAGTTTTGGAAAATTTTAGGCATGAAAAGGAAAGGCTGAGTTGGGGTACGATAGCACACATAGATATTGTCATAGAAAAGAGAATTTCCCTTCCTCTCCAAAAGGGGTTTTGGAAGTAACATAAAATCCTCTTCTTGGGGCCATGTAAAATAGACAACTTTCTGTTAGCAGAAGAACATGACATGTTCCTTCTAGGAAGATGGTAGATTGAATGTATTGTATTTAGGCAATGTTCTGGGGATCGATCTCTTGTCACCAATGCTAAAAGATCTGCAGATTGCCTCTGCAGAAACCTTTTGGCTGACTATATAGGTTAGGGATAATGACAGTGTAAAGTTGTTGCTTGCTACCAAATAAAATGCTTACATTGGAAATAGATAGAAAAACAGTTAGATTTAAAAACATATATTTAAAAACAGCACTGGTCTGTTTAGGTTTGGTTTCTTGGACATGCCGTCAAGCCAAGAGGATTGACAGAGCATCTGCAAACAAAATACACAGTATGACAACTCCTGAATTATAAATCCAAATCTCTTTTGTGGATATCACTCAATTTCCTTATTTTGATCAGTCTAGTTCTGATGCAGCAATTTTAAAACTTTTGTAAGACTGAAATTTGACTTTTAAAAGAATGAGGTTTTTTGGCAATTTATTCAATTTAACATTTGTTATTTGGATTATTCTTGATACAATTGTGGCCTCTAAAGTTCCACATCTGGTAGAGGTTTTGGAGAAAACAGTTAAGGCTCCTAAGCCAGTAAAACTGTTTGTAAAAGTTGAAGGAATTTGATGAAATTGATATTAATCATTTAGACAATTTTTGGAATAATAATTTGGAACATGCTTTTTTGAAAAATAAATCAACGGTAGGTTGCTTAAAACAATTTAAACTATCTGTTTTTGATGTTAGGATGAGGTTAGTACTGCATAATTTTTTATTTTGCAAATATTGGATACTGCAGAGTATGTTTAATAAAAGTTAGCTGTAATAGCTTTCCTTTGGAGGTAGATCTCAGAAATTGGAAGCATAAAATGCAAAAAGTAGGTCTGTTCCCTTATTGTCACATTTTGGATTGAAATCCACTTGGGTTTTTAACATGATTTTAGATTGCTTGTTGAATGTCAAGGAGATACACATGTCCTTGTTGGCTCTCGTCCCAGGAACCTATTAGTTATCAAGATTGGTGAAATTATTGTGGGGGCTAGCCAAAACAATTATTATATAACACTGGAAGGATAAATTTACAGTGATCTGCAGTAATAAATTATTGATAGTATTATTTTAACGATTTATGTGAATATTTATTTTTCAACAAAATGACATGGAAGACAAATTCCAAGGAATTTGGTCAAACCTTTGGGGAATTATTTTTGGTGTTAATTGGTAGACTCTGTTTATTTAATTCAATATTATCACACTGTTAGCAATTATACACTTCTGTAAGTATATACGTATGTGGCTATATTTTTACGTGTATGCATTTCTATGTATTCTGTGTCTAGATAAGTAGACACACACACACACAGAGAAAACATGCAAACCATGGTATATATGGGCTCACTATGTCAAACACACCCACACACAAAACCACATTTTGCCTTATTACATAAGTGTTCTCAGGGGTACCTAAGATTGATGACGCAGTGATTAAAACCACTTAGAGAGGGTTGCAAAGCACTATGAAGTGGTATATAAGTCTTGCTATTTTTATACACATTTGAAAAGTGCAGATGCATTTGCTTGCCTGACATGAATTACGTACGTCTGTAATAAAAATGTCAAACCAATGATTCTTGCAATGATGTTTGCAATGTTTGGTAATCTATAAACAGATTGAAGTCATGTTGTTTATCACAGGCAATAAGAAGGTTAAAAAACATCAGAAGACAAAAACAAATGACTAAATAAAATATAAAATGCAAAGATTAAAAACATGCAATCAGCGTAAACATATGCATGAGGGGAATAAACAAACCTGAAACAGATTGCAGCTGTTCTGGAATAGAAGTGGTGTCTACAGCCCCTCCTGTCTTTGTCACCTCACAAGATGGACTACTCTTAACACATTCTTCATGGGGGCTGCCTTTAAAATATCTGCAATCTGCAATTAGTGCGAAATACTATTGTTAAGCAGGGCAATCCAGTATTCCATCTAACATGCCTTAGTGACTGGCTTGTTTCAGATTGTAATTCAAGGTACAGGTGATAGCCTTTAAAGTCTGCATTACTTGGGGCCTTTGTGTCTCTAAAGTGTGCCACAAAATAAAGTAGACTGTGGTTACTGATAATGCCACAACCCCGTCCCCACTTTCCGGCAACAAGCCAGTATTCTTTATAGAACTCCTCTCCTATAGAACACCTTCCCATTGAAGATAAGGGTCATGCCCTCACTTTTAATAATCAGATGTATTGAAAAACATGTATAGATATGAGTAACTCTCTATGGCAGAGGTCCCCAAACTTGACAATTTTAAGACTTGTGGACTTCAGTTCCCAGAGTTGAAGTTCACAAGTCTTTAAGTTGCCAAGTTTGGGGACCTCTGCTTTATGGGATGAATCTTTGTGTTTCCTGATTCACGGGGTCATGGTTTTTATGTCTTAAGAATATAATAATGGTTGGTGGCATTTATATTTGGGGTGTGTGTGTGTGTGTGTGTGTGTGTGTGTGTGTGTAATTATAGTATAGTATAGTATATAGTATAGTATAGTATAGTAATAGTATAGTATAGTATAGTATAGTATAGTATAGTATAGTATAGTATAGTATAGTATAGTATAGTAATATATGTTGCTGCTTAGGATCAGTTGCTTAGAAACTAATGACTAAAGTGGCATAAAGGTGTTTCAATTAAATAAAAAATGGGGAGCCTTTAATCAAACAAAATTGCTCCCAAAGCCCTCTAAAGGAGCCAAGGTTTAATGACTTTCCTGCCCAAATTATAGAAGAATCCCAGTTTTGTTGTAGGCACATTGTTTCGTATTGCATAATATTTTTTTCACAAAGATGATTGATAACCATGAGAGCTGTATGTTAATGAGTGACAACAGCAGACTTGAGATATTCCAAAATTCAGCATGTTGAGTTGTTCCCTTTAAAAGGATTGCTGAAATAGTTCCTTTAAGAGATTTCTGCTAAATATTTCATGCTTTCCCCCAAGCTTTTGGTTATGTAACAGTGGTATAGAGATCTATTATTGATGTCTTGGGTTTGAGTCTGAACATATTATAGTGGAAGCTGGCAGATTGTTATTCTCGTGTAGAACTTTGACATGGGAAGATTAAAATAAGGTAGAGCTAGGCAGTGTAGGCCTGCTGTGTAACCTATAGGAAAAGTGCTTTCCTCATTGATTGAGGACTCATTGGAAAGTCATATGTATCATTCAAGAATTAATGGAATCCTTTTAGTACGTGCCACAACTATTGATTGTGAAGGAAATAAATTATTTCATGGTTTAATTAATAGACAGACAGACAGACAGACAGACAGGGCTTTGAGAAACTTTTTGCATTTCCATGAATAGTATCCATTTCTCTTTCAGGACTGTGGTATATTAGGCCTTTTGAAAACAGTAACAAAGCATTCCTAGCTTAGGTAATAATGCATTGGGGATAGAGATTGCAGAACTAAATAACCCTTTCTATGTAATAATGTAGCAAAGCCAGGATAGTCTTCTTATTTATCTATAGGCATTTTGATTCTGGGTGATCAAATATTTTGTCTTGCAAATATTATTTCCTCCTTTTTCTTGTTACTTATCAAAAGGTGAACAATCTTTCTTGATGTTTTCTCAACAGTGTTTTCGAGCCCTTTGCTGCAAAGGACCTCCACCTCCACGACCAGAATATGACTTGGTTTGCATAGGTCTCAGTGGCTCTGGCAAGACGAGCCTGTTGTCTCAGCTCTGCAGTGAAACTAGAGAAAATATAGTGTCAACTACAGGTGAACTGATGTTTTGTTTTGCTTCTTCAATTATAGGCATTTAATGCAAGAGATCATGCAACCAAGCATGTCAGGATTGTAGCCCTTGAGGAATCAATGACATGACATCTTGATTAGTGACTCAGCAGCCAACATTCCAGTCCCAATTATGGTTGCAAGTCAAAAACTATATATAAACAGGAAGCAAACCCCATACTTGCTAGCACTGATGATGTTACCTGTTTGAGTACTGATATGTCTGCAAGTAACAACCAAGTTCAGAGAATACCAAGGACTTCTGAATTAAAATAATGCAAAATATATTTTTGTACTTTTGTTTTTTTATCTACCCATTATATAACTCATGGTAACAATTAGCACATTTGAATTTACTAACTTAAGCTAACAAGATGCTAATAGATTAAACTGAGGAAAATAATGGTAGAGTGAACAAATGTATTGAAAAAAGTACATTTTTAATTTATTTGTATTTTCAGGTTTTAGCATAAAAGCAGTGCCATTCCAGAATGCAATATTGAATGTAAAAGAACTTGGAGGTAAAGAACACTATATATAATATGCACAACTGATAGTAGCTTTTGATTCCTTTGTGTCTTGATTTATGACAAGAAGCAATAGTTTACATACTTATCAACTACCTTTTCACCACTAGGTGTAGTCACTGCCTGGTACAATCTAAAGTAGATTTATCAAAAGAAGAAAGAGAGGAAAAATGTTTAAATAGTAAAAGGCTGGATCAAGGAAATTGACTTTTGAAAAAAGAGATGTTAAGAATTGTTATTGAAGGTGGCTAGATATAGCAGTTTGATACATCGTGTTGAGTTTCCAAGAGATGTATTACTATCAAAATAATGTATAATAAATAACAGTTTTAATCAACACCATGTATAAGATTTGGGACAGATGACACTGCAACAGCTTAGTGAAGATTCTGTGTTTCCTTAGTTATAATTTAACTGAACTATATTTCCAGTTAATATAAACCATGAGTAAGTGTAAACAGAAAAAGATGCATTAAAAAGGAGGCTTTATGTTACATATGCTACATGTTGATGACATTTATTTTTTTAAAAATAATTAAATAAGTATCATCTAAGCATGTAAAAATTTCATACAAAAGAAGGTCTATTAGAAGGGCAACTCTTCAGGTGTTCAGAGAACTGCGAGACATTCTACTATCTGATAATTCATTCATAATTATCAGATACAGATTTTTTTTCTTAGAGCTGCTACATTGTACTTAGAATGCACATTTCCCATTATTTACATATTATAGCAAGACTGCCATTGATCATGAATCTTGGTATTAGACAGAACGTCTTGAACAAACAGCATCATTGGGAAGTGAAGTCTGATACATATAGAGAACGTCAAGTTGGGGAATACTAGTCTGGCATTGCTTTCCGAGCATCGATTTGGCTATGTTAGCTGATCTGTTGTATATATTTAGGCTGTCTCTATAGAATCAGCAATTTTGTCCTCAACACCACATTTTGAGTTTGGTTTCATTCATAAAGTTTTAATTGCTCATCTAAATTACGTGTGTGAAAAATAACTTTGGAAATATGACTCTTGCTTGGCATCAAAGAAAACATGAAAACAAAACTATTTTGTGGATATTTTGTTCTACATACAGGTATTTCTCAGCTTATGTTCAAAACTGGGACTGAGGTCTTTGTTGTTGAGCAAAGCAGTAATTAAGTCAGACGCCCATGTAACAGCTTTACTCAACAACCACAATCTCAACTCTCCCAGTTGTGGTTATTAAGTGATCATGCAGTTTGTTATACTGAGTTCTGGGGAGAGGACCCTCTCTTTGCTCCATCATGTCCAGGTTCACTTACCTTTTTCTGCAGCTGCATGCAACTTCAGCTAATATGGGACATAGCCTTCCTATCAAGCCTGCCATGTGCCATCCTGCAAATGGGTCCTGTTCTCACAATCGTTGAAAGGCTCCTTTCCAAATCATGTGATTTGGAAAAAAAGACCGTTCCTAGCTAGAAAGATAGTGATCACCATCCTGCTGAAGGATAGAAATCTTTTTTCTGGCACCATCATTCAAGATGTGTAGAAGTTCTAGAACACCATCATTCTAGAAGGCTAAAAGAGTATGCCTCAGCCAGGCTATAGAAATGGAACAGGATGTGAACCCCATTTCTGCAGCTCAGTGGAGGAGCTGTGCCAGAGTGCAGAAACAGTGCTTGGATCTTCAGGATACAAGTCTCATTTTCTGCAGCCTGATGGAGTAGCCAAGCTTCCCTACATGCATGAAGTAGAACACCTCCACTGTGCTGCAAAAATGAAGCTTATGCCTTCTAGATCCAAGACTCATTTGTCTAGACCAGTGGAGGGACTGAGCTTCACTTAGGAGGCAGCCAGCCCCCAGAGATGAGAAGGAGATTTTAACAGGTGGCAGCAGCTTTCAACCTTCCTTGCTGGTTTCCCCATTGACTTTCTGCGAAGTTAGCAGAGAATATTGCAAATAGTGATCACATGATCGTGGAGCACTTGGGAACTGGTTGTAAGTGTGAACATGTTGCCAAGCACAAAATGTAGCCATATGACTACAGAGGGTGGCACAAATTTTTAAGGCTGGAAGTGCTCAATGGGGCATACAGAACATAGCAACAGAACTTAGATCCATTTACTTTACAGCCTTCTCTAAGCGGTTTACAGAGTCAGCATATTTCCCCCAATAATCTGGTCCTCATTTTACCAACCTTGGGTTTAAACCAGTGGTGAGTTTCAAAATTTTTTAGAACCTCTTCTGTAGGTGTGGCCTGCTTTGTGGGAGTGGCTTGCCAGCCATGTGACATGGTGGGAGTGGCTTGCCTGGCCAAGTGACTGGGTGGGCATGGCCTACTTGTAAAATGTGGTGAAACTCACTTAACAACGCTCTTGCTTAGCAACCAAAATGTTGACTCAGAAACTAGCATTTGAAGCACACAAATCTTAAAGCTGTCAAGTTACAAGACCCTTGCACCCCTAATCCTTTAGAAAAAAAAACCCCAGGGGGGTTCAAACTTGACAGCTTTAAGACTTGTGGACTTCAACTCCCAGAATTCCTCCTCCCGCTCTTCATCTTGATGATGTGCGGACGGGTGGGGGGAGGGACCTGGAACCAGTTCTAAACGGCACTGTAGATTTCTGGAACCTCTTCTATAGAAGAGGTTAGAACCCACCCCTGCTGTAACTTGGGTGTAGGACGAGGGCGAAGATTTGTTCTCTGAGCTTGTGGGTTGATTTCCGAACGTTTTGTTGCCACAGAGTTCAGAAATCAACCCACAAGCTCGGAGAACAAATCTTAATTATTCAACCATGTTTTATGAAGGCATTGGATAAATACCCAATTTAGTGCTGAGAAGTTCTATAAAACAAAATTTCTTTGCTGGATAATGCAAATTGATTAAATAAAGCATAGAAGAGAAGTCAGCAAGAGTTTCAGAGAGAAGTGAAGGAACATATTTTAAAAAGCAAGAGTGTGAATTTTAATTTTGTTTTTTTTAAAAAAATGAAAAAGCTACAGCTAAAAAATATAATCAGTGAAAAAATTGGCAGAAGTAAATATTTTTAGGGATATGGCTAGTGAGAGAGCCATCAGACTAGAAGCTAGGAGCCCATTTCCTATAATGTTGATATGCAATTTTCTAATAGTGCAATAAATTAAAATATGATAAAAAGAAAGCATTGAAATTTAATTTTGATATGCCTAAACAAGATGTGTGCAAACTTGTCCTGTATGTCTTCCGATTAATATTTATGCTTATTTTTATTTGATAATTACCAAAGGGGCTGACAATATCAGAAAATACTGGAGTCGTTACTATCAAGGATCTCAAGGAGTAATATTTGTATTAGACAGTGCTTCTTCAGAAGACGATTTAGAAATTGCTAGGAATGAACTGCATTCTGCGCTGCAGCATCCACAATTATGCACTTTGCCATTTTTAATATTGGCCAATCATCAAGACAAGCCAGCCGCTCGTTCAGTGCAAGAGGTATGTTTAGTTCTGCAAGAACGTGTGTGTTACTAATTGTTTGAATGCAATGATGGTAAAGTCATGACTGTATGTATATCTGATGTGTATGTAGAGTCTGTAAAGTTTGGATGAACATAATTCTTAATGAATGAAGAAAAGATATTTTTAGCTGTCCATGCTAAGGATTGCCTATGTGTATTGTTTTTTAAAAAACAAATATGTGTGAAGTTTGTCAACTTTTATCTTACCACCTTCTTTTCCAACACCCTTAACATTTTCTTTTATATATCCTTAACAATATGTTTCTTAAAATTTATTTAAAAGTATTAGATTTTTACTTGTTAAAGCTTCCACTTTTAAAAATCTAGCATATGTCTACATTGGTTAATTCTTAACTCAAACTGGGCACCACTTTAAGAAGAATTAAAAGCATTTGGAACAAATTCAAAGAAAGGCAAAGAAGATGATAGCCAATATTCACTTCTTGAAAATTCAAACTTCAGTAAACCTGACACTGAATTTTTAATAATATTATTTCATATAAAAAGTTGACAATCACTAGCATTCCAATATAGGACTGGGAAAAATTTGTTTGAATCTATTGAGAATTGCTATAAATCACTGTTGGATATACTGAACAAATATACAAAGTGTACAAATACAAGAGCTAGATAAAGGTGGCAGCTTTTCATATCCAAGGACATTAAAAAAATTAAACCATATATTCAATCTAATTTTACAGCAACATCAAAAATAATTCCACTTACAAGAGGCAAACAATTATATGATCTGTATACTTTAAGTATACAGATCATATGAAGATATGTATTAATTCTTAATTAGTTCTAATATTCTCTGTGATTAATGCACAAAGCAAATGATGCACAGAAAAGAATCCTTTTATTGAAACAGTGGCTTCTATCACACCCTGAGCAAAGATTTTCTAGTCACATTTCTGGGGTTTTTTTCCCCTTAAGGTATGAAAAGCAAAAAGTGAAACAAAATTTAGGATAAAAAAAGTGAAAACTCCTGGATCTGTGCTTCTGAGTCTTTGTCTTTTCCCCTGGTAACAGCGACTCTGAACGTGTTTTTCTGAAAAAAAGAAAAAAACCCAGGGAGCAACTTGTTTGAATAGCAAACAATGCAGTGAGAGGCCATGTCTTTGCGTGCATCTGAATGTATTTCTTTGGTAGTGCTGATACCAATATTCAAGCTTCATATTAGATGAAGTCATTCTTATCTTGCTGCTAGGAGGTGTAATACTTTAAAATTTGGCCTTATCTACTACTTTTATATAGGCACAATATTAAGTAGTTATTCCTCATCAAGGGATTCAAGGCTTTAGTGTTGGCATAATTGTGATTTATTTCAGAAATAATGATTGCAGAAGCATTTTCAATCTGACAAGGTGTATAAATGTTGAGTAATAGTTACAGATTTTTTTGCCTCAAATGCTGTAGGAGCCAAGAAGATTCCACAAACAGCTGTTCGTGATGATCACTTGTGGGAGTTATGGTTTCCAAACTGCGCGGGGCACTGTTAAAATTGTACGATGTAAACTATTTATCCAAACCATTAGGAAAAGAACCACATGTAACTATTTGAAACTTACGCAAAATCGCAATACTCTTTGCTTATATGAAAAAAATTGTCTGATTTATTTTTCAGCTATATAAGTTTATAATTGCTTTATTCAGCTGTTTCCATTTATCTTTTTAAAATCCAACTTTTTATTGTAATAAAATAAGCTAACATTTTGGAAATACATTGATTTGCATTATAGATATCTCACAAGAGAAAAGTGAGATACACAAGAGAAAAGGAGAGATTCTTTCCCTTACTTTGGAAAGAAATTTAACATTTAATTTTTAAATAAACTGATTTGGACATCAAAGAAATGATGATTCAAGAAATATGATTTTCTATATGTGCATATCAAATGTCACTCAAATCTAGGAATTATTTGGTAACCAGTATAACTTATATATAATAAAGTTCTGGAAGTATTGCACTTATCTCCTTGCAATGAGTTCATCTGCTTCAATGTAAAATTAGACTGCTTCTGAAAAATTATCTTATTTTAGTGTTCTCATTTGCCCCACACAGGTTTTTCATATGTGGGTGTCTTTATTGTTACAAACCAAGTGGGGACAACTTAAATCTACTTTAAGTTTCAAGAAAGCTTTTGTTTGCACAATGCCCTGTTGTTCATCTGTGTATGTTGCCTTATTTCTTTACTACATTAAATTCCAAAATCTCACTTTTGATGTATTATGGAAGAAGATGGATTTTTAGAATAGATTTGGAATGCGAAGTTCCAGTCCTTATTATAAGTGGCTTAGGAGCAGTGACTTTTTGGATCAAATCAATTTGGCTTTGGTTTATTAATTTGGGGGAAAAAATCTTTGCAGTCTTACAGCCAAGACCTTAGCTGTTTTCTTGGCATCCAAATAGATCAGTTGATGGGGCTGTATGATGAGCAAAGTGTAGGCTTTTTCCCAGTTAATTAAGCATTCCATTTTCTGCTAATTACTATAATGCAGACTTTGTTTTGAATGGCATCCAAGAACCTTTGTCTGAATGGTTCTATAATGCTGTCTAGGAAGCTCTTATAGATACCCATTGAAAATGTACTCCATTGAAAATCCATCTGGGCTGTGTGCTCCCCCCTTTTAATTGCCTGTTCAGAGGGTTTTTTTTTTCCTTGTCAGTTCACAGATTTGTGTATGTTGCAAACTTGTCCATTCTGGGGAGCTTGATTTTTATGTAGGTATTCATTCTTCCATCAGTACTGATTTTGTATTTAATCATTTTTGTTTTATTTGGAGTTTTTGATTTTTAAAAGTTTTCTTTTTTTGTGTCTGCAGAGTCCCATTGCTCATGATTCACTGGGACATGACTCTGTCATGTCTTTTTGCCTTTTTCATTATCCATTATATAACTTTTGAGATTTTGATAGCATGTTGTGGTTAAAAATAAAAATGATTTCTGTTTTACTATCCTATTAGTTGATTAAGTATAACTGATATTGTGAAAATCATAATCGTACTAATGAACTACATAGAACTAGGTTTCGTAAGATTATCTGGACTGGAACCCATCACTTTTGCAAGGTTTTGAATTCTCTTGGCCAAGATAGCAATCCCCTCCCTTTTATACATCTTACCCGGTCCTAATCATATGCAGTTTCTACCCTCTTTATTATTATCCCTTGATTGATCTATTTACTGAGTCATGTCAGGCTCATGTAAATCAACAGACCACTGATCTAAATAAGCCATTGAGCTTCTATTACAGATATTAGTATCCAGTATGCATTTTGGGCTAGACTACCTTAGATGCTAATGACTTTGTGTGCCTATCTATATTCAGTACAGTATTAATGAAGCTGTCACCTTGAGAATGAATAAGGGGTTGTTTTAAAAACAAAGTAAATGCCAGTTGTCATTTGTCACATCCTTGAGGTTTTTTTTTAAAGACTTTGGATGCATTCAGAAGTGGACATTCTGAATATATTCAGCATCATTTCTTCTGAGAAATAATTTTTCTGAGGAGAATAAATCAAGAGTGATATAAGTTGAACATTTGTGTTGCTTGTATTCATTTTGATTGCATTCCGATCTAAAGGTTGGCATGTTCTGTTTGATAGAATAGAGTCAACCAATAAAATCTGATCTATAGTAGGAATGAGCAGCCTTTTAGAAGCAATTTGGAAAAGGTGCCTCCTAGGGTGTGAGACCATCTGCCCGTCTACAGCTGCCCCGTGATCCTGGGAAAACCCACAGCTTCTTTAGAGTTGCAGACAGGTGCAGGTGCTCCAAAGACCTTTGTAGAGTCTAGTCTGTAGCATGTTACAATCTGACCTGTTCATTTGAACAGCTTAAAGAAGTAGAAGGTGATGGGAAGTTTGCAATAAGCTCCTGTTAAAATGATGATTTTAGGATGCTGAAAAATATCTTGTTTTTTTGTAGATAAGACTTGCAACAATACATGCACGTGAAGCATGTGATAAAAGACACAGAAGGGATATGAGGAAACAGAATGTGATGGAGATGGTGTCTGACCTAAAGTGTAGCAGAAGAAAACTATGGAATTGGGGAAAAAAAGAACCAATAAAATGGGTGGACAGCATGGTGGTTACATTAAGTGTTTTCAGAAAACATCACTGGACTTAACTGATAGAATATACTTAATATGAGTCTAAGAATAAATAAAGGCAAGATTTTTGGAAATGATGATAGGGGTATGTAGCTAGATAAATGACTCCAGAAAAAGTAGATTAAAGAAAATTAAAAGTGTCCAAACAGGAGCCAATACTGATTTGAAGAAAAAAAACCAGTAGCAGTCCATGGAATAAAAGGAGAGAAATGGATATGAATAGCAAGTAGAGGTTTTAGGGGCTGCTTCAGGTTTCACTGAAATTTGGAATCTTTATTTGTATTAAGACTATAAATCAAAGCATGTTAATAGCATCATAGTAACTTGATTCACATAAAGATACATGTAAGAGAGATATAACATGTTAATTTCTGTTTTCTAGAAACTGACCAAAGGATTTTATTTCATTTCGAATCTGAATATTTAAAAACTAAACAGCATTTATGTTAGTGTATCTCTATGTTTAAGCAATGCTCATTGCTCATTGTTCACTAGCCACCATAGAGAACCAATAACCAATGGCATTTTTTGGCAAAATGTTGTATTTCATTACAATAGACTATTATTTACTTTCAAGATCGATAGTTATAAAATTTAAAGGGATAAACTGCCAGCAGGAGATTAGTACTGTTGTAACTGTGGCCACTTTCATAGTTCATGTGAATATAAGAGAAAGCTTAGTAAAGTTATCCAGTTTCTTTATGGCACAAGAGCCTGTTGAATATTATGCATCATGGTAAGTAAGGTCATGATTTTAAAAAACTGTAAGAGTTTGATGATCTATTTGTCAATGTTGATTAACAAGTAACAAAGCTTGATTGTTTTTTGTTGTGTTTTTAAAAAGTATGTCTTATCATGAG